CTGACAAAACCTGTCTGCTCCCTGAGCTTTCAGATTTGTGTGCAACTCAAATATTTACCCGAGCTCACGGCTCTGCTGGACTATATACTGGGAAATGGTTATTGACTCTTTTTGCGTTCTTAAGACAACTCTGTGAAATTATTCTGTTTCCCTGGCCTACTTTAAAGCTCTTGAATTCTGCCTCCCACCCCCATTGACACAGCTGGGTGAGCTCACCGCCTCACAGCCTGTCTCGGGGTGGCAGGCGGCCTGCAGGAACCTATTAATAGCCCTCATTTCCAGTATGTGCCTGTAAAGTCGGGCCTCATTTTTAGCAGCTCACTGTTGCTCACAATTCTAGGAAAAGTTCCCTTTGGATGTCTTCCTGCCGGAGGATGGTTCGACTCCCTCTCCCTGTACAGGGAAGAGGAGAGGAAGGAGCCCACAAATACTTGGTGGGTGAGCCATTCAGGGCAGAATAGCTCTAGCTGAAACCCCTCCTGTGGAGGGAATTCTCTCTCTGCTTTGAGAGTGGCTTTGGTAAGCTCCCTGGGATACAGTGAAGTCTGCATGGCCAGGCAATGCTGAGGTCTTGCTGGACTCACCCCTACCTTTCACATTGCTTGTCCAGTCCGTCGGACACTTAGGTGGCTTCACCTCCAAAATAATCCGGAAATCAACTCTCTCTCATTGCTTCCAACTTTGCTTGGTTGTGCAAGTTGCATCCTTCTCTTGCTAACTTGATGGGAAGGTCCTTGTCTGAGTCACCTCCCTCCCAGCTCCTGCCATCTGGTCTCTTGAGAACTGACAGAGGGTTCCGAAAGCTCATAATCCTCAGCTTGACCACGTCAATGGCTTTGTGTCTCACACTGTGCCAAAAGCCGAAGTCTTCAAGTGGTCTCTGTAGCTTGCAGGACTTGCCTCTTTCTCTTTCTTGGCTCTTGTCTTCCATCACTTGCTTCTGCCCCTCTTGGGCTGGCCACACCAGCCCTGTCCCTTGCCATCGCTCTCTCTGTGTTTTACATACGCTAACCCTCCGTTCCCCCATCTGAAATGGCTTTCTCCGGAAAACGTAACAACATTTCTACTGGTTTCTGCCCAAACATCCTCTCCTCTGAAAAGCCTTCTGAAACCACCTTAAATAAGATAGCACCCTCAGCACTAACCACCTGTGTTCCCTGCTATGGTTCGAATATGAATAGCATCCCTTAAAGGCCACAGACACCTAGTGGATGACCCATCCTCAGAGGAGCAACTCTAGCCAAATTCTCCCCAAGAAGGGAGTCTCAAGTGTGTTCCCAGGGTGGCAGTATTGAGAGGCGCTGTGAGCCTTAGTGGGACCTCAGAGGAGATCCTTAGGTCACTGGAGGTTGTACTAGAAGGAGATCGAGGGAGCTCAGACCAGCTTGTTCTATCTCTGCTTCCAGGCCCACATTTTGAGCACGTATTCTGAAACATACTCCAACCATAGTGTGTCTCTTTCATGAGAGGTCCAGTTAGGGCTGCCTGATCTTGCACTTATGTTTTCAGAGCCATCAACGAAAATAAACCTCTCATTGCTACACAAGTGGCATGTGCCAGGTACTTTGTTATAGTGATGCAAAGCTGACCATTCACTCCTGTTTGGCTTCTCTTTTTTTTTTTTTTTTGTCTTATTACTAGCTGGTAGATCATCTGTTTGCTGTTTTACACCACTGAAAGTCAAGCTCCAAGAAGGAAACAGAGCATGTTGCCCCAAATAAGAATATAATAAATGTCTAATCAGGGAGTAGTATTGAGTAAAAGTGACAAAGTATGGCCAAACTGCCTTGCATTGGGAATGCAAGTGTTCGGGGAGAGGGAGAGGGAGGAGGAAAGAAGAGGGCATGCAGAGGGGTGCTGTGACCAGGGGAAGTGTCTGCTGGCCCTCAGGAATGAGATTATCCAGGTAGGGCTTTCTAGGTTGGTCTTCATGTGCTAAAACTTTATTTGTGCATATAGCTTTCTTTTTCCTTGATGAGAAATAACTAAAGAAGAAGATGGAGCCCCACAGTGAAGTGATGACTTGCTAGTTCACACACACTGGCATCAGAGGGCAGAAGAATATCAGCAACCAACATCTGACTATTCTCTGAAATCTTTGTGATGGCATTAGCTCTGCACAGAGCATTAGGACATAAGCCAGTGTGGTTCAAATTTTATGGGTTGTGACTCTGGTTTACCTATAGATAGACTTTTGGGAACCCCAATTATCTTTTATTGGAAAAGCCCCAGCTGACTCTCAGGTCAACCTCAGGACAAAAGACAGAAGAAAACATGGAGTCAGGAACGTGAAGTTACTGTAGGGGAGAATATCAGTGAAGAACCACTAACCTCCTCGCCATGGACCTTAGCATTAAAGGGAATCTTAGAGTGTGGCTCATCGGCTTGCCCCCCAGCTTGAGCCCCACGAAGCTGGAGCAACAGCTCCTTATGCTGGTGGAGGGAGCCTTCAATATCCATCCCTGAAGGGAGGGCAGAGAGACTGGTGGAAGAAACGGACTGATCTGCCTAACAACACAAGTCAGCCTCTTGTTGAGTGTTCCTGGAGAACAAGTGTTCTCTCTGCCAAGATACCGTGTTCTTTTAAAGTAGCTAAAAATTATAAACATTAGAATCAAAAATAAATATTCAATATGAACCTTTCACGCAGTGTTCTTGAGTTTGTCTCTGACCTATCAAAGAACAAACTTTATTCTGCTTTTACTAATAGATTTGTTGGAAATCCATGGTGCCAGCCATAACTGTTTTCCAGTAAAACAGATTGTGACTAAAAGTGCTAACACATTTATTGTGAGACCTAATTATACATCAGGTACTAAGACATAGCAGGATTGGTACATCTCTGAAGTTAACCTCTCTTCAGTGGAAGAAGTCCTGACCTTAAGACCCAACATTACAAAGATACCAGTCTAGGCAGCAGAATATTTAGTGCAACCCTAGCTGTGAAAATACTGATGTCGCATTAAAGAAAAGATTCCCCCTGCCAGTTAACAAAGAATGGTGAAACAGCTGTGGTAACCCATATTCTTGTCTCATTTCTGTCTTGCTTGCCTGTAACCAGACGGTGTTTGAATCCATCCCAGCTTCTTTGTGCATCCCTCTGTGCTACTGGTCTTCACTTAAAGTCTCCTTTAAGGACTTTATCTCCCTGCTAGGGTTGGCTTCTATGCTGCACAGTGGCTTCGGGAACTCAGAGTGCCCTGCACCCTGCCTTTGCCTGTATCTCCATTTGACTCCAGCTCGTTGCTTATGCCTCTCAATCTGAGTAAGGTCAAGACTCAGCTGTCTATACCAGTTGGTAGAAATAAAGGGTCAAAAGCAGGAGGCTCTGGGGCACACAGAGAGGTCTGAATGGTCTTGAGATGCTGCCAAACCAGGTCTGAGGGTCTGATGGCCTGTGGGTTCCCTTGATACCTCCCAGGAGTTTTCTGGCAGGGACGTTATTCCTTTACCAGTGAAATAATGAATTACACGTGATGAGGAACAGTAGAATAGAGATCCATGCAGTGCTTCTCTTCCAACTCTTTCCTTTTTCTTTCCACCTTCTTTTCTAGAAACAAACAAACTAGAAACAGTTGAAAGCTCAAACTTAAATCCTTATAAGGAGGCAGCTTTACTAGCTGAGAATTGCAGGTCTACAGAACAGTTCCAGATTGCTGTGGACTAGGGTTTGTGAAGGGTTTATGATTTCTTTGTTCTTTCCCTCATGCTTGTATATGGAACCTGGAATCCAGTCCATAGGAATGGCCTCTGTGCCTGCAGTGGGCAGTGCCCAGAACTTGGAGTCAACCAGGGCTGTCAAATCACCTTTTCAGGGAGCTCTGAGGGATACCCAGCTGAATATCAAGGCTCTTTACCAAACACTGAATGCCAGCTTTCCTCACTGACAGAATTGTGCTTGTTATGTGGGCATCTACAGAGCCCTTTACATGGGGGCTTTGCATGGCTTGGGTTCTGCCTGGTGAAACCTCTATAGTCTTCTGGAACAATCATGGCCTCGTTCTCCAATTTAATAGGAGAACACAGTGAAATAAACCAGATCTTGGCATCTGGCTTTGTGTGGCTATTTCCTGATTTTAGAGCCAAATGAAAGGAATCCCTTCTTCTGTAAAAAAAAAAAAAAAAAAAAAAAAATTGTCCTTAGCTGAAGGAATCCACAGCTACTGGTAGGTTAAGACTTATGCTTCAGGGATGGCTTTTAATGTTGCTGGAGTGAACATCTAACTAAATGCAAGCTAGGACAAAGGTTACATGGAGTTCGGCCTTACAACCATCTAGCCTTTCTTATGAAAACTCGTATGTCTGCATGCTATCTGGTTTCCCTTCTTTTGCAGGTTCATCCAGCAGTTGGGTGCTGGACTAAAGCCTTCAGGACATGGCTTTGGACCCTGCCACTGTCTTGTCTTGGCTTCAGATCCTTTAATCAATATCTCCAAGATTTGGATTCCTCTTTAGTTACCTGGCACTAGTATTGGTCTTATGAGCAGCTCTGGGTGCCACATGAGATGATTCCTGTGCATTATGGAGCACAGTCCAGGATCATGCTAAATGATCAAAAATGTTGGCTCTAGCCCAAATCAGTTTTGAAAAATCTGAGCAATGATGTATAAGTTTCAAAATGCAAAGAAAAATCAAAGTTTTTCTAACTTCTTTGTCATTGCAGAGAAAAAGGCTGCCTTGACAAATATAATAATATTTATCCAGAATCAAGAGGACAAAAAGTCTTCTAGGAGAGCGACTTGTTTTTTGATGGAAGAGAATGTTAACCCTTCTTCCAGCAGCATTTAAATTTGAACACTTCTTTGGTGACAATCTTTTTGAAATATACCCTTCAATTTCCTGCCTTCTTATGCAAAGTTTCCTGAACATAATTCATCAGTTTCCTTCTGTCCTTGGTTGTCACTATCTACATCGATTTTGCTGTACTGTGTTTTAGATGGGGACAGTGTGGGAACAGGACTTAGCACGAGTGTCACTTGCCTTCCTGCTTTTCTATGCAGTGAACACCCACCTACTCTGCTCTGAGCAGCTCGGTGGGCTCATGGCTCTGCGTTCAGACCTCTCTCACATGCGCCTCCAGATGCTCCTGACACCTCTGTGAAATGCCCGGCAGGAGGTAAGTTGTGCAGGTCTGCAACAGGTAGTGAGCTTTTTTAGAACTTTTGGTGACTTTCTTTTGGGCTCGGGATAATGCATTTGCTTAGGACATCCTGAGATGCAAGTTTCTGGGTCCTGAGATTTTATTTTCTTTGCTGACATCATCATTAATCTTGCATTTACCAATTTTATTTTGCTTTTAATCTTTTCTTGGAAGGACTAAACCTCTACTGAATTATCTCCATTCTTAATAGATCCACTTGTGTTGGATTTGGTGCTTCCTATCAAATGTTTCCATTGTGAGTGGACAGTGGCTCTGTGGGTAGGAAGAGTAGTTCCTCCCTAGCTAATGGGTGGACACAGTCCTCAGGAGTTCACAGACTTCCTTCAAATGCACAGTAAGCGGAAACCCAGGAGGGACCTGCGTCAGACAGTTCCTCACCCAGGGTTTCTCCTGCTCCTTGGCAGTTCCTTAGACTGAGCCCATGTTCAAATTTGAGGAATATTTGGAAAGTTACAAGAATAGCACCAATGCTTTGTACTTAAATGACATCACACATGTGTGTTCATGGCAGTGTCTGCATGGATTTGATGTTCTGTCCCTAGGATCGTTCAAATAGTAACTAAATTCAAATATTTGAAACATGAGTAAAACTCTGATGTAAAAACAAAATGCTTTGCCAGGAAAACACACACGGGTGTGCACACACACACAGAAAGAGAAAGTGAAAGAGAGAGAGAGAGAGAGAGAGAGAGAGAGAGAGAGAGAGAGAGAGAGAGCAAATTATTCCTGTTCTTGCAGTTAGAATTCTGTTGAAGTCACAAGCTGGATTATTGGATTTCATCAGTGCCCCATAATTGAAAAAGCATCATGCAAGACACATGTATGTGCAATAATATAACCCACCTTGTCTCCATGTTGCTTTAAAAACATAGCACACAAGTTTATTTTGCAAAGACTGAGTGAGATAATACCAAGTAATACTTCCAGTGGTATCTGAGAAGAGTGCCTGGTTTGACTTAGTGGAAGCATGTCACTGATGAAGATCCTGACATCTCTCTCCAAAAATGCCAGCTTTCTTTGTGAAATACCCTCTCAACGCTAACATGTGATATCTGATATTCTAAATTATGGCACAGGGGAGGAATGACCTCATTTCATTCTCTGTAAATGAATTGATAATAATATGTGTCCATGCCTGTGATAATAAATGTTACCTTTTCCTATTTTATTGTGGTCACTACTGTGCACTGTGACCCTTAGCAAAGAAATGCAGAAATCTGCCACTTCCTTCAAGGCGCTTACCCATAAAGCTATTGAAGAAGAGTTCGTTATGAGGCCTGGGGGTCACCTTGGCTATGCAACAGAGCCCAGCAACTCAGGCTGTGGCCAAGCTGGGGGCCAAATGCTAGTACTGCCCCTTGCTTATTTCAAGACCTTTGGAAGTTACTGAATGTCTTTGTGCTCCCACCTAAGATATGAAGACAATTACAATCACAATTATTTTTAAAAGCAGAGTAATGCCTGGCACTTAGTAATACCTCTATCTCGAGAGACAACAGTATGGTCTAGAGGAGACAAGAAAGTCTCCTTAGAAAGAGTTATGTGACGAGGTTACGGGAACACTGAATGACGCGTAGGTTTGGGTGGTGAGGGGACTGATTCAAGAGAAGCCAGACTTGGGTTTTTGTGGAGTGTGAATTTGAACAGGGTGGGTTCTGGAGGAAGTAGGGTTCTGTGGGACCTCTAGTGCTGGGCAGAAGGGAATCATGGGGGACTTTGCCACTGGGGAAGAGTATGGGGAGGGAGCAGATGTGGGGACAGTGTGATGGCAGCCTAGCCATCAGTTTCTGAATCTGTCCTTGGCTGACCACATGCTGGGGCTCTACTATTCAGGTTCCCAAGTTTGGCTGCACTACTGGGAACTAGGCAAGCTGTGCCAATTAGGTAGTCTGTGCACATCCTCAGGGGATGTGTTCCAAGACTCACGGTGGATTCCTTCAGCTGTGGGTAATATTGACCCCATTGGGCTACGTGTTTTCCTACATGCGCATATGATAAACTTGCACCTTTTCTCCTAAAGAAAACATTTACGGCTTCTCTTGAGCATACACAAATTGCCAGAATTATTACTGTGGGGGCATTATGAAATGAAATAAGGCTTCCCTGAACATAAACTCTGTAATACCTTAGCAGTCAGTCTGTAACTGAGATGGCTACCAAGTGGCTAACAGCAGGTAAAAGATACAGAATGCATATGCTGGGAAAAGAGATGATTCATGTCCTTGGTGTGACAGACCCAGGTGGCAAAGACTGCCTCACACACTTGGAAAGTGTCCATTTAAAAACTTACTGTTTATTTCTATAATTTTCTATTGAATATTTTTAGACAACGATGACTACTGTTACCCGAAACTTCAGAAACAAAACCTTGGCTAAGGGTGGGTGTCTGCGGCTTCTCCACCTCCCTTCTGTCCTCATCTTCATCCTGCACACAGGTTGGCGTTCTTACTTTCTTCTCGGTAGATGTGACACGAAGACCTGTGGATGACACCATCTAGCAGCCTTGTCAGAAGAGAAGCTTCTGTGATTTGACAGCCCTGATGCCCAGAGACATGCTCCATGAGCGAAATGGCTTGGTCACATTCCAGGAATGACTTCCTGTGGGTTTCATGAAGGAACTTTCCCCTTCAGTGTTGGGAGTATTTGTCCAGAAACAGAAGCTTACAGGCCCTTTGCATTTCAGCAGTGCAAATAGCTGCGAGAGAAGACCCAGCTGAGCAGCAGCAAATTAAAACCTCTGCACACGTGAAATGAATAGTCCTTTTTTTAAAAAATCATTTTCCAAGCTGAAGAATGAATGAAAGATAAATAAATAGTGGTACAAATAGTAAAAACCAAATTAGATTTGAGGTTTCTCCCCCTTCCAATCAAATAATAAGTAATCCAAACAGTTATCATTTGAGAGAGTAAGGAAGTGATACTATAAAAATAAATGCCTTTCTCTGCGGAAGCTTTGTCCCTGTGCATTACTGCAGGAGGAGAAGGGTTTGCTGCCTGTAGTCCTGCTGCAGGGTCTGGCGAGCTCTGGGAAGAAAAGACTTGGAGAAGCCAAGAAAGCATTAGTTACATGGGAAAGGAGGTCCTTTCAGCCCAGCGTCCCCTTGAGAAAGGGAGAGTTGGGAGGTGGAAGATGCCTGTGTTCCCAGATCCACATCTGAAATGACAACCAAACTTCTGTCTTTTATTCTCGTTTGTTTACTCTTTTTAAAAAAAGATTTTCTTTTCTTTTTTTTTTTTTTGTTTCTTTGTTTGCTCTTTTTAAAAAAAGTTCTTTTCAAAATGAAGAATGGACTTGTGCATTTTTTAATTTACCTTTTTTCATTGAAAAATGAGTTTTTAACATGATGAACCCCCAGGACAGTGCTTACCAATCAAATTTTCCGTCGTGAGATGTCTGTCATTAGCCTAACCTGCAGATAAGCTAACACGCTTGGGGCAGATTTTAAAAGTGTCTGAGCGGTAGGTTTGAGTTCGGTTCCACCCTCTCTAGGTCCTCCTACTTGGCTCAGCAGCCTGACTAGGAAACGGCTCCAGTGCTGCGTAGGCCCTTTGCTCCAGATGGAGGTTCTGGGAATTCTAGCTGTGCCTTCGTGGAGGCTCTGTGGTGCTAATCCAGGGCAGGCTGGCCTGTCTGTGGCGAAGGAGGGAAACAGACTGGAATTCCTCTCCCAACGTTTCTCCAGAGTAGTCCCTGGGAAAATGAGATGTTCACCATTCTCACCTTAAGAAATAAGTATTTCTGCTTCTTAACAATAACACAACCCCCAAACTGCAATGCTGGAATTGTGGTTAAAATCTTCTGCATTGAAACCTTCTTTTCATAGAGCTTTCTTTCCCTTGCTGCAGCTGAGAGGTAGGCTTTAATTTTTTTTTAACTGATTTTTACAACTGATTAATTCAGTCTGATCAAGATTGAAAGATAGAATTTGCCAAGAACATTTGCAAATGGTATTTACATGGGGTGAGCTTTTGCTTTACATATAAATCTCTGTTCTCCATATTTTGCAGATACAGAAACTAAGATTTAGATGGGTGTCCAGGTTAGGAAGTGGCAGAGGTGGGGTTTGAACCAACTATGTTCCCACCAGGGACTGCTGCTCTTTCCCTAGGTGCCACCTTCCTGAAGGCAATTTAGAGACAGAGAGAAACAGGATCCCCTTCTCACCATATACCTCTCCTCACAGTATGCGTGCCTTTCAGTGGATCTTTTTTGTTATGACCAAACATAATTCCCTTTAGATATTTTTATTTTTCGCAACGACTTTAAGAGTTGCTCATAAAGCTGTAAAGACTATTCTGTGGGTCCTTGGCGAAATTATTTCCTCTGACCTTCAGATCACTGAGTGGTTATATTTGCAACAGGACTGACCAAAATAGACTGAAGGCAGCACATTTACTTGAAAATCTGAAAACACTTGTGGGTTTGTCAGAATTCTGCTTTGGGTCACTGTGTGTGTGTGTGTGTGTGTGTGTGTGTGTGAATATATGTGTGTAATTTCAAATTGATCTGAGAAGCAAAGCCAAGTTTTTTTTTTTTTTTTTTTTTTTACCATCCTTATCTCTCTTTGACAGAATTCCAGTCTTATCAGCTAAAAACCATACACTTCCCAGGATGCCTTACTGGGAGTTGACCCCAGGACAATTCTGGCCATCTGAGGTGGCAGAAGTCAACTGCACATGGTTTTGGCAAAATTGCTTCAAAAGGGGGTAGAGTGCTGGTGGGCGCATTTTGTCCTTCCTTGCTTTATTCCTGAAGAGTGTGTGTGTGTGTCATGGTTCAGGATTGAGGGCTGGCTGAGTGCTGGGCTTACCTGGGAGGATGAGGATGGTCTCCCAGGATCACCGGGAAGAAGATCGAAGTATCCTGAGACACTTTGCTATGCTGAGCTGGTGCCCCACTCTGGAGGGACTGCTACAGGTGGTGACAGTGTGAGAAGGTTCTCTGGTTGGCTGAAGTCTT